CTTCAGGCTCAGGTGCAGCAGTCGTATGTGGCAGCTTTTATTATCTCAGCTTGGAAAACACTTTGGAGCAGCCTGTTGTTATCGGCCGCAGCAGCAGCTCTGAACTGTGCCTCTGTAATTAGACGAGCTAATTTGTGAGCTGCAGTCGTTACGGATGCTGGTTGTTAGTGGTTACCTGTTGTTATGGTTACCGTTTCCATCTGTAACTGGCAACAAGACCTCAAGTACCAGAGTGGGACTCACAGCTCGGCTCTCTGTCTCCCACACACACACACACACACACACACACAGGTACAATAGGATGGCTTTGTTTCAGGGACGCTGACTCCAGTTCGTTTAACAGAAACCGGTTCAGCTGCTGTTAAACCACCAGTTTGGCTTTTAATTTGACTGTGCGGCTAGTTTCAGTCTGAACTTTGCTCCCGAACGTCTCAGATTTTAATAAAACGATGGATCAGACTGCAGAAGAAACACGGTTCTTAAGGGTTGTTAAGAAATCATTTTCCAGGAGTTTGAAATAAGGCTGAAATACAATTTCCTGTACTAAATAGATTATTTCCAGGATATTTGGTCAAATTAATCAATTCCCAGGTGTTTCCATGACTGTTAGACTAGAATCTGAATTTTTCCAGGACGTGTGGGAACGCTGTAGATTTAGTTTTGCTTATTGGGACATAATTTCTTGGATTATCTTGAATGATTTATAAACCTAAAATCTGCACAATCTCACTTAAAAGCTTATATGAGTCAATAAGCCACAATCATTGAAAAAAGTACTGAAAGTGAGTCATAAATCAAAGAAATAAAAAATTTTTTCACCAAACTGTATTAAATAGAAACAGTAAAGATTTCTGAATATGAACAAAATATTTCTGGACATTTTTAGTTATTTGCATTTTTTGCTTATTTTTTTTAATGCAACTTTTCTCTTTACTAGTTGCTGTAGTAAGTCATGGACAGATAAGCTTTACTGAGCTCGGTCTGCGCTGCCCGGACTGGACGCACATTATTTCTTCATCATGTCCAGTAGTGACAAAACTGTATGTTAGCACACTGACGTTAGCATTTAGCTTTGAGCTCAGCTGTTTAGCCTCACAGAGCTGACAGAACGTCTTTAGACCCTCAGACTGGTTTAATATTGAACCAAAAACACAATTTTCCTTCATCTTAAACAAGTCAGAGCTGTGATCTCCTCCATAAATAACACATGAAGCCAAAACTGAAACTTAATAGTGGGCCGCGGGGCAAAAGCACAAACACTTTGAGCCCTTGTTTGACCAACTTCCTGCACAAAAAGTCTCTGTGCAGATATTAATGTGAACACAACATCAGTCTGCTATAAGCTGTCCATCGGTGATTCCCAACATACTGAACCGGGGAAAACAACAACATTATAAACGTCTCTTTAATGTGTTATATTAAGAGGATGCTGAGCTGGAGAACACAGACTCTATTGTGCACACACACACACACACACATACACACACACATACACACTCACATAGTAATATGACAAATAATCTCTGACTCTGTCCTGTCATTTGCTCTTTTGTCACGTCTACTGTCCAACGTCTCCTCCTCCGGTTCCACGTCTTTAAAGCCGTCGTCGTCGTCGTCGTCCACGTGACAAACAGTATAAAGTTTATTGTAAAAACATCCTAATGGCTGTATCCAGTGCGTGAAATCGCAGCGTTGCCAGTGGCCAGTCACACAGTGAGATGGATGTTGGTGAGTTATTATTCATGGCTGCGGTCTGAGGACAGTGCACTAATCCAGGGGCGGGGAGATGCACATAGTTCTTATCATGATGAGGCTGGAGCATTAGATAAGGAAAAGGATAAATATAGTGCTCGTGCTTTGTTTTCCTAATCCACCCACAGGGCTAAGAAACTAACCTTTTAAATAGGTCACCTTCTCTGCTTTTAGAAACGAACGCACTCAGGCTCTCTGTGTCCACTGGCTCAGTGTGTGTGTGTGTGTGTGTGTGTGTGTGTGTGTGTGTGTGTGTGTGTGTGTTTTGTCCTTTGAACATCCAAAACCCAAACTGACTCGTACAGAGTGCAGTTTGGATGGTCCTCAGTTAAAGTCCAGATAAAATGCATTTTAAAGATATATTGTTCCAATATTTAACAATTTGTGACCAAAAACAATCACAAAAACTCGATTTTTATATTAAAAATTTAATAATTTTGTCTTCCTCTAAAACAAAATGTGACTTTTAGCGATGCAGAGCGAAGATTCATTGGTGAGTTAGCTAGTGGAGCTCACTGATTACTGTACAAACACAACTTTATCAGAGATTTGGGGGAAACTGGATCAGATTTTATGGAGAGAATATTATCTGGTTTTCTCTCTGACGTCCTCCACCAACTGCTAATGTAGCTGCCGTTAGTGTTAGCAACTGAACGGGGCTCAGCAGCCTCCCAGTGAACACAGAGACAGACAGACAGACAGACAGACAGACAGAAAGACAGACAGACGACAGCGAGGTGATTTATGAAGTTTGTTACTAAAAGAAGCTAACTGTCGCCAACAATAACGTTAGCTGCTGTTAGCTCACTCAAGGTGCCACGAGCCAAAACCAACAAAGAAAACCTCCTTTGTTTGGAGCTCAGACTCATCAGTACGTCTTTTAAATAATAAACTAAATTGTACATTGAAGGATTTAAAGCTCCATTGTTAAGAAACAGGACCTGTATTTTGGTTTTCTGCTCTGGTTTCTTTGTTATATGTAATAAGTTATTGATGAAAATAACCGCGGTTTCAGAGAATGAACGTGTTGGCGAGCAGAAAGAGAGATTGTGAGGGAGGTAAAGAAAGGCCTCAGCCATCTCCTTCAAAGCCAGCAGGACGAGGGAAACATCCGGACAAACAGCAGAGAGTGTGGCCCCGGGGGCCTGACCCTCCATCCACAGAAGAGGAGAGGACTCGGACACAAAGGCAACAAAAAGAGAAGCAATGAAAGGGAGGAGTGCATGGATCTCATCATGTGGAAGCAGGTCTTTGTGCTCGGGCTGTAAGGAAATGGATTTGTGTGCATTAAGGATGTTTGAAAACGACGGCGGGTGCACAGAGAGAGGCTCTAATGTTATATAAGATTATATAAAGAGAGAACCAGGAAACATTAATGAAACGATGGAAGAAGAATATAGTCTAACACTACAAACAGTATATAAAGCAGTCAGAAATAGCCTGAACATTAGAAGGAGTCCCTGAAGGGAAAAGGTTGGAAACCGCTGATATAAAGTATGAATTTCATTGAAGAAACACTGCAGTTGGTCTACAGGAAAACAGAATAAAGACATGGGTTCATTTATTTATTTAATTTTTACAATACAATTTCAGCTGTAGTTACGGGGCGGAGGTCACTAGTGTGCAGGTTATAAAGGTAGAACATCAGGAGTAAATCTAAACTTTACACTTTGTAAAATCTACCCGGAACAAACAACAGAAAAAGAAAACTTTTCAATTTAAATGTACATAAAAATATTTATTTAGTCTCAGAATCTGATGCTTTAGATTAAACTACCGAACATTATATGATCTATATACGACCTCAACTGTAAACATCTCAGGGCTCCAGAGTGCGACCAATTTGGTTGCACATGCGACCAAAATTTTAAAGAGTGCCACTAATAATTTTTCTAGGTCACACTGGTGCACCTGACGCTGCCCGGGTGAAAACATAAATTTATTTCGCAAGTGCATCATCTCTCTGTGTTCTCCTGAGACCGAACTCACACACTCATGGTAGGATCATATCGGGTTCTAAACCAATAAGAGACAGAGCTCGGGCGGGTCTTTGCCTCTGATTGGCTGTGGTCCTGTTCACCGCGCTAAATTGTGCGTGTTTAAAAATTGCCGAGCCCCGGTCCTTCAGCAACAGCATCAGACTCGGAACCAGAGGAGGAGACAACAGAGTCTGGGATAGAGCCCGGCTCCGAGACCCAAATTAAAAAGGCCAAAATATAAAACATGAAACAAGTTCCCTGGCTGAGGTTCAACAAAGGACGTAACGCAATGCACTGCGTGTACCGTCAGGAGTGCGGTCTGAATATGGAAATAGTGCATTCGTGAGTGGGTCAACAACGTTTCGTATCGAAACTTTATTTGGAAATGTTTTATTTTGCTTAGTGTTTTAGTTTGAAATGTTCAATTTCAGCTCAGTGAAACACTTCAAACACTTTATTTTTCTTTTTATATAAAATTGTGCTTCAAATAAAGACAAGCCTTTCTCTACACCTTATTCTTGTTTAAAAATCATTCACATTATATGAAAGTTATGGAGAGCGATAAAAAGGTGACCTTATGGCGTTAAAGGCGACACAATGAAAAATTTGAGTTAGGTGCACCAGTGCAACCAATGCAAAGAGTTAGTCTGGAGCCCTGAACATACACATTCAGATATTATAATAAGACACTGACAGGAAACATTTAACTGCAACAACTTTTACTTTTGATACTTTAAGTTAATTTAGCTGATTAGGACTTTACTTGTAATGGAGTATTTTTATTAGTAAGTTACTTTTACTTAAAGATCTCCTCCAGACTTGTATTAAGACATATATCTATATATCTCTATATAGCTATATATATATATATCTATATATATATATATATATTATATATATATATATAATATAAATAAATAAATATATTATATAGATATATATATATCTACTTGGAACAATAATGTCTGTCTGATATGTTTTTCCCACAAAAGAAAATGTATAATTTTCACATTAAAAGCATCCACTGGAACCTCGGTCAACTTCCTCCGTCTCTGTAAGAGATGCTACGTGCTAAGCTAATTCATGTTGACAAAAATCTAAATCTTAGGAGGCTAAATAACGCTCCAAAAGTAGGCTAAACTCTGGAAAATGAATGAAAATGGGTTCTATGGGTCCCCCGAGTCTCCCCTTTGTAGACACTTTATTCAGGTTTCTTCAGACTGGCCACCCCTCCATTAGTCAGTGCCCCCCCCTCAAACAAGTCTGGAAACGCCCCTGTAGGAACAAGAAGAAACACAGATTTAAACACTGATTGTTTGCATTAATCTTTTCTCACAATGAACTGAATAAAATTAAAATTAGGAGGTATTAAAGCCACAGGCTGCGCGCGCACTTTGTTGCCATAAACCCAGAAAATGAACAGAGCGCGTCCCCGCCCCCAGAGAGAGAGAGAGAGAGAGAGAGAGAGAGAGAGAGGATGACAGCTTGTCTCACATCCACAGACATTTTCAGAGGCAGCTAAACGGTCTGAACAGCACTTTTGACGTCAGGAATAATCATTACAGCCTACTCTCTCATCCGGGTCTCCTTCTCCTCCTCTTGTGGTTTTAATATTTACTTCATCCACAGCAGCGGCGGCGGGAGCAGCGGGAGCAGCGGGAGCAGCGCGCAGCCTTAACGCCATATGCACAGAGAGGGAGCCGCTCCAACTTTGTCCACCCGGAGCTCTCGGAGAGGATGCTGCAGCTCAACAAGTCCGTTTCGTTCCGCGCACACTGACTGTTGATGGCTGCGGAATGGAGATAGCCTTGGTGAGTTTTGAGAACGGCGGTGCCAAAGGGAGCGGAGGAGGAGGAGGAGGAGGAGGAGGAGGTGGAGGCAACAATGCCGAGGACAGCTGCCGGAACGCGCTGGACGTCCCTCAGCCGGGCTTCGTTCAAACTGGACTCGGAGAGGACTACGGTAAGGAGCTGAACACCCGGGGGAGTCCTCATCAGCATCTTCATCATCATCCTCCTCAGCAGCAGAGCTCCTGGAAAATCAACGACATGAACAACACTTTCAGCTGCAGCGAGAACGCCATGGATGCGCTTTTACGCGCGGACCACAGTCCACATCTGTTCGACGAGGACATGCTGGACATGGACATGGACACGGAGAGCAACGAGAGGGTGCTCATCAACATAGCCGGGCTGAGGTACGAGACCCAGCTGGGCACCCTGAACCAGTTCCCGGATACTTTACTGGGAGACCCCGCCAAGAGGATAAAATACTTCGACCCGCTCCGGAACGAGTACTTCTTCGACCGCAACAGACCGAGTTTTGACGGGATTTTGTATTTTTATCAGTCGGGAGGGAAAATCCGGAGACCTGTCAACGTGTCCATCGATGTGTTCGCGGATGAGATTAGGTTTTATCAGCTGGGGGAGGAGGCCATGGAGAGGTTCCGTGAGGATGAGGGCTTTATAAAAGAGGAGGAAAAGCCGCTGCCTCAGAACGAGTTCCAGAAGCAGGTCTGGCTCATATTCGAGTACCCGGAGAGCTCCAGTCCGGCGCGGGGCATCGCCATCGTGTCCGTGATCGTCATCACCATATCCATCATCACCTTCTGCCTGGAGACGCTGCCGGAGTTCAGGGACGAGAGGGAGCTGCCCGTCACCAGCCGGCTGGACAACAGCACCGCGCCCCGGCCGTCCCTCACCTTCACCGACCCCTTCTTCATCATCGAGACCACATGCGTCATCTGGTTCACCTTCGAGCTGTTCGTGCGCTTCTTCGCGTGCCCCAGCAAGTCGGAGTTCTCCAAGACCGTCATGAACATCATCGACATCATGTCCATCATGCCTTACTTCATCACAGTGGGCACGGAGCTGGCGGAGCAGCAGGGCCAGGAGCACCAGAACGGGCAGCAGGCCATGTCCCTGGCCATCCTCAGGGTCATCCGCCTGGTGCGGGTCTTCCGGATCTTCAAGCTCTCCAGGCACTCCAAGGGGCTCCAGATCCTGGGGCAGACTCTCAAAGCCAGCATGCGGGAGCTCGGCCTCCTCATCTTCTTCCTCTTCATCGGAGTCATCCTCTTCTCCAGCGCGGTGTTCTTCGCGGAGGCGGACGAGCCGGAGTCGCACTTCTCCAGCATCCCCGACGCCTTCTGGTGGGCCGTGGTCACCATGACAACCGTCGGTTACGGCGACATGAGGCCGGTGACGGTCGGCGGGAAGATCGTGGGCTCGCTGTGCGCCATCGCCGGTGTGCTCACCATCGCGCTCCCGGTGCCGGTCATCGTCTCCAACTTCAACTACTTCTACCACCGGGAGACGGACCAGGACCAGTCCTCCCTGAAGGACGAGCCCAACAGCGGCCGAGCGAGTCCCGAACTGAAGCGCAAAGGGAGTAAATCCTCCACCAAGTCTCAGGACGCGGAGAACAACGACGCGGGCGGTTCTTCGGTGGAGAAGGCGAACATCAAAGCGAACAGCAGCATGGACTTCAAGAGATCCCTTTACGCGTTCTGCTTGGACACCCGGGAGACAGACCTGTAGTCCCGCAGCCCCCCCACTTAAAAAAAACCCCCAAACTGTTAAAGCCCATAGTTGTGTAGAATAAACCCCCATTAATGGGCTCTTAAGTCTTTGCACATAGCAGTCGGAGGATCAACACATTGCAATCCTGAAAAGTTTTAAGAGCGACCGGGGGTTGATTTATAAAAAGCACATTTTAATCCCGACTCATCCTGTAAGCGCATCCGTTAAAAACTGAGGAGTTATGGACATGTGATGCAACACAGTGGCCCTTTAAAGCAGGAACACCTAAAAAGAACATGAAAACTCCAGTTAAATAGGACACGTAGCTGCACATAATCGAGGACAAGCAGGACTTGGAATAATTACTTGACACCACGAGAGGATTAACAACCAGACTCTTGTACATAAATGTAGTGAAAACATATTCAGCCGTAGAAACAAACAGCCAAATTTTATTTTTCGTACCTTCCCTACATTTAGTCATTATGTTTACGCTGGAAAAAAAAGCTGCAGCAAATGTGTACATATCCCCCCCCCACCTGCTATTTATGAATTGGATTATGGTGTTATTGTAGATTTAAAAACAAACAAACATATATTTTTGAGATGCAGACACCTGTCTCCCCTCCACTCAGGTTCTGTGAAAAAGAAGTGAGACACTTTTCCTGTTTTTCTAGAGTGGATTCGCTCTCAGAGGACCTAAAGAGGAGATTTTTAGACGCCTTGTTTATGATTTTTTGTTAAAGAAAAAGGACATATAATATGGAAGTACTGAGGGAATGACAGCCAAGAAAAGAGGACAGCGCAGAGACCATCTGGAGAGCTCGAGCCACACAGATAACCAGGTCAGTGTTTTTATTCGCAGACATCATCAGTTTTATTCAGATGTTTGTTTTTTTTACTGCACTCGGACGCGAGGGGTTGAATTTTGTCACTAATGTTACACCATACAGTCCAAAGTGGTGCTGAAAGAACAGCTCCTCTCTGTGTGGAGTGACATTAGAGCCAAAATTCAACCCCTCGCGTCCGAGTGCAGTACTGGATACTAACACCTTCATCAGTTCGAGTGTTTCTTTGTTTACAATGTAAACTGAGTTATACGACTTTAATGTAATCAAACACATCAACGCTGCTGTTAATATTCTAATTGATGAAAATCTGTATTTCGTTGGTCTTCATCTTTAACCCTGTGAGTCCAGTGCGGACACAGAGTGGACAGTTTCTATAAGAACAGAGTTAACTTCCTCTATCAGAGGAGGGCGGCCCACCTCCTCAGCCTCCGCTCATCTTCAGATGTATACTGATGGAGACGTATCATTCACAGGAGGTTAGCTGTTGTTTTATTGTGGTGCAGTGGTTCAGACTTTAGATGCTGTAGAAGCACCGGACTGCAATCTTTATCTTGATCTCTCTCTGACAGCCCCCCCACAGGCCTCTCTGAGCCGTTAGCTTAACTACAACATTAATTAATATGTCTAATCTTTTGAGTCCTTTAATAATCTTTTTCTCGATTGATTGATTAGTTGTTTGGTCCATAAAATGTCAGAAAATGATGATTGTTGATCACTTTTGCCCAAAGATATTCACTTTACTGCCACAAAGAACCAAAGAAACCAGAAAATATTCACATTTGAGAAGCTGAAATCAGAGAATTTGGAAATGTTTTCTTAGAAAATGACTCAAAACGATGAATCAGTTGTCAAAATAATTGCATTTTAATGTGATAGTTGACAACTAATTAGTTAATTGACTGACTGTTGCAGCTCTTTGCTCTCTATACGTACACTGCGGGCTACCACAGTCTGACTGATAATGGATTTAAGAGGCCAATGTTTGTTTAACAGAAACAGTTTTGATAAAAATACCTTAAATTTCTTTTTTCAAGATGTTAAAAGCAGAATATTTCTGTCTCGTTTGTGTTCTACAAGGTTAAATTACTGGTTTTATCAGTGGAGTCTGGTTTACAGTTCTAGAAGACAGGGTTGTTTGGAGACTTCCCCTGAATAATGAGGAACCCGTGAGAAGACTTTCTGATTCAGTCTGGGATGATGGATGAGTTGAAGCTCCTGAAGCTGCACATAAATCCTCAAACATGGCGGCCGCCGTCAGGTGCGGTCACATGACTCCAGCGAGTGCGAGAGTCTCTGTTAAATGAACGCTGAGTTTGTTTTCGACCTGTTTGACCTCAGGGTGAAGTTGGAAATCTTTCAGAGCAGATTACAACGAGCTTTACTGTGTACCATTACAGACAGACTGTGTGTGTGTGTTGTTTGTGTGTGTGCAGAACTTAAATATGGTCTTCTACTGCGTTTAATATACAGCAGAACAGAAATAATCTTATTTATGCGCCTTTGAATGAAAATGTAGAGAATTCAACGCTGCCATTGGTCGACTTTTGAAAGAAAATCCTTTTTTAAAGTCACTCTTTAAGTAGAATAAATTACTTTTTTAAGGATTTTAATGTGGAAAAACACATCAGACAAACATTATTGTTCCAAACAGACAATTAATAAATGCCTGGAGGGGATCTTGAACTAGATGATGTTCTTCATACTACTAATATTCATTAAACATAAATCATAAAGATATATGTATTTTAGGGGTGTAAAGTTTCGCAGATATGAGTTTACAGCGCACCATCAAATCTAAAATCTAAAGTCTTGAAGACATTTTGATCCTATAAGAAGGAAAGTTGGACAAAATGTCCATTTGTAAGATCTGTCAGACAGCAGTTAATTCCAGAAACAGGACGACAAATCTTATCACTTACCTGGTGAGAGTCTGTGGATGTTAACACAGCTAGCACGAGCAACAACACATAAAGATATTAAACACTTTATAGACACAACTGAGCTCCAACTGGGTAAAGTCTGAGGTAAAATACTGGAAAATCTCTGGTATTTTATAAAATATATGTATTTTAATTTAGAATTAAAATAATAAATCAGTTTATTGTTTCATATTAAAAAACATCGTCCCTGAATCGTATCGTAGCCGGTGTATCATGCACACCCAAATATAAACACATACAGTATAATTCATCCAACGACTGTTTGAGCCTCTATAATATATGATATTCAACATGAAGACAGGATTCCCACCTCACATTGTGGAAGGTGGATGTGAGAATCTATTTTTATTTATAGTTTGGTTAAAAACAGCAGTCGACAGATGGAGTCTCTCAGCTGAGCGTTATCTCTGCAGCAGCTGGAGGCTTCTGCACTTTTGTCCTGAGACACCCTGAAGTACCGCGAGGTGGGACGAGGGCGTCTTAAAGCTCCAGCCTGTAACACTGAGGAGGATCTGTTATATAATTCAGGATATAATATAATATCCATAGGTATGTTAGTGTATAATCACCTGAATATAAGAATTATTGTGTGTTTGTTACCTGAGAATGAGACGTTTTTATCTACAGAGGGAGCGGGTCCTCCTCTGCTGGCGGAGTCCGCCATGTTTCTCCTTCATGCCTGGAAGTCGAGGGTGAAGGGATAAGAACGTCTCCAACCTTTAATTTGAAAAACATTTTGGAGCCGCAAAACATATTTGAGCTTTAATAATAATGCTAATATATAGCAGCCACATAATATATATTAGCCACAGCTGAGGATCGGCAAGGTGCCAGTTCAGGACGTAATGAATGTCGCACTCAACATTTTTTTGTTATTCTACACATTCTTACAACTGGAGAGAATGATTCATTTCTACGACAGGCCACTGAAGAGGGGCTGAAGAGCCACAGTTTGCCTAAATTGGCACAAATGTGCTTCCATTTTAAGAGCAGTGGTGGGACATAACAAAGTAGATCCACTCAAATACTGTAATTAAGTACAATATTTGAGGTGTTTGTACTTGAGTCCTCTTCAATTACTTTACAAATGTATTTTTACACACAAAACATATAAAGAGTTTATAAAATATGATGTTATACAAGTACAGCTGAAATAATTTTATCCATTAACAGAAAATAAGCGGCTGAAGTTATTTTTCATCTTCACAAATGTGAAGATTTGCAGTTTTCCGTTTGAATTATTGTAATAATTTGGAGGTTTGGACCGTTTGTTGGATAAAACTAACATTGTGAAGGAGTCACTTTGACTGAATGTTTAATTTAAACTAAAAAACTAAAACTAAAAAATCAACATTTTCGGGGGTCTATAACAAAAAAAACATTTCAACACTTCATTTTATTACGGTTTTTACCTGATATTCAACAATGCTTTCGATAATTCGATGTGCAGCCCTCGAAAAACAGCGAGAAAAGTCGTCACAATTACCCAAACAATCGATTTAAAGGTAAAAATAATCCTACAAAAAATGAGCTCAGACAGTAAAATCCTATGGTCATAATAATCTAATGAAATATAATAGAACAACAGTTTAACTACAAATTAAAGAGAAGGATGTACTTCCTCCCCACTGACGGGCTGTAGAGTCAACACTGCATACATTACGGTTATTTAGAGGATAATGAACGACTGCAGGCCGTGTGATCTTTATTACATCAGGATAAGTGTCTGTTGGTAACTGACTGCAGATCTGCCAGCAGGAGAACGTCAGAGGGAACTTTGTGTCCTTTATATGTGAGTTCATTTACAGTTAATGAGTACGTCCATATGTGATCATGTGATTCATTAATGTGCTGCTATAACGGCCTCAGATCCTGGTTGCAGGTCTTTACACCAGATGTTGAACCTGCTGCTTTACTGAGTTCAGACCAACAGCAGCTCTGAGAGGAAAGTTACAAATATCCAAACAACTATCGGACAGTGTGATCTGAGTTTCGGACTCACTGAGAATGAGCTGTCAATCACAAGGTAGCCCCGCCCTAAAGCATACCCTGCTTTATGGTCTGTTTTACTCTAAATGGGACCATCAGTTACTAAATGAACATCATGCTGTATGGAAGAAGACTGAAACTAGAGACTGAGACCAGAAACTCATCAGGAAACTGTTTACTGAGTTCATAAATCAACTTCATAAGACTCAATACTATCAGACTGCTGGCTGTTAGAAATAATGCAGGTTTAAGACTACCTGCTAAACTAAATATTAGCATGCTAACACACTAAACTACATCGTAATTGTCATTTTGAGAAAAGCACGACGACGTTAGCATTTAATCCAAAGCTAGAGTGTTGTGCTTTTGGAAAACCAAACTTTATGGAACAATTAGAGCCTAGAAATGTGCTTATGGCTGGATTTTATTAAAGGTATTTGTTCTTATAGAGACATGAGTCAAGTTCACTTTCTTACTTTTAATTTTTCACAAGAGAAATATGAGAAAGAAAAATGTGTGTGAACTAAAAGTAAGCACTTAGATAACACCTAAACTAAACTAAGTTTTATTTTGAAAGTATATCTGGATGTTGCAGCATATCTATTGAGCACTGAGGCTTTGGTTTTGAAATATTATTCTAATATTATATTAAACCTACCAAACATTGTAGATTTCATTGTGAACATGGCTGTAACCATGGACAATAAGAACAATAAATTATAACAATAACTATAACAATAACGATTTTATTATTTCAGGGTTCCCACGCATCCTGGAAAACCTGGAAATGTAGTTTTCCAGTCATTGAAACACCTGGAAATTGATTAAAATGACCAAATATCCTGGAAATGTTTGTATTTTAGCCCCTCAGTCAGATCATCTTCATAAACCTGGATGCAAACTCTCATATCTCCACACATACAGCCTGTTAATGATTAAATATCTTGTTGCTGTGGTTGATAAATACATACACACTGATGTTAACTGTATGTTCAATTAACACTTTAACTTTCTAGAAAAAGAATTTCCTGTGATATCTAATAAATTCTATTTGATGTGATTTGT